CGTGAATCCTCTGAACAAAGTGTCCCGTGCAGGGTACTCACGCACCGGAACAATAGAAGCTTCTCGGCTTGTAGCGATGATTCAATACCTCCTTTGTTGCTCGATCRGAAGTCTTCCGTTGCCTCTTTCTCCTCCGTTGAAGAAGACTGTATGCACAATAGACGCCAACCGAAGAGTGGGGAGGAAGCTCCCTATCCGGCTCGAAGGACCAAAATTTTGATGCGACCGATGCCTTAATCGGTACTCCAGTGGATAGTAGTGAATCGAAAAATGCCCTTACGAGTTATATCGAGATTCTTTATTAATGGGAAGCAGGATTGAAAAATAAAAACACAATAACAACTTTATTTATGCCCAGTCAGTACTAAAAAGTACGCTTTATTTGGCTCGTCAGGGAAAAGCCTTTCGGCATAAAAACCCTGGTTGAAACGATGAAGAAGAGTCCACAAATCGGGATAATTCTGGCCAGGTGCAGGACCGCCTTTTTCCCTTGTCGCTGGCCGAACTTAGATGATGTAGTATTGCGCAATACAAATAATTCTCCTCGAAATAGTTTCTCGCAAGTCGCAGCATTCTAAGATAGATGAATCTCGAGCGATAAATCACGCGTGATGAACCACCACGTTTTATACCAAAAAGCGATGCAATGCTGCACCAATCACCGAAAAGCCCGAGGACGACGTGGCTGTCGATACATATGATTGGCATAATAAATGTGGTGGGAGAACTAAAGCTAGAAGAAAGAAGGAGCCCTTACAAGCATCTTAGCGCTACCGTGGCTACTACCAAAAACAAAGACACTGCTTTGTCGAGCGTGTCTCACGTTTTGGCACGGCCGTGCACGCCCCGGCGCTTCGCCCTACTCACCCGTTGCATAGGATACGCAACAGCACTTATTTAGAAATTTTTTAATATTTAACTACAATTTAATCCAAGAAGTTGCATAAATTTATTTTTTAATATATTAAAAAATTGTAAGCGACAGTAAGAATGTTCTATTCAAAACTAAACAGAATGGATGTAAGGTTGACTAGAATCGAACTTCGTCGAAAAAAAATGAATTCTACGCGTAAAGTAACCAAAAAAAGTTGTGATAAAATGATTTTTCCCCTTTTTTAGGACTGCAAATGTTGAAATATAAATGTTATTTGCTAGATTTTATTGGACTTAACACTTTTTGTATGTTAGTATACGCTTTAAAACTGGAAAGAAAACGTTTTATAGCTTTTCTTATATAGCACTTCTTTAGATATCTGATAGTTTTCAACTAATACTTAATCTAGAAAGCAGCAAAAATTTTTCTTAAATTTATTGAAAAATTTTAAGCTATGGTAAAATGTGCTATTAGAAACAAGGCAGAATTGATGTCAGGTTGACTACAATCGAGTTTCGTCGAAAGAGAATTTAATTAAAAACGGAAAGTAACTTAAAAAAATTCGTAATAAAATGTTTTTTTCCCTTTTTTTTTACTGCAGTAGTACAAATATAAATGATGTTTGCCAATTTTTTTTGGATTTACAACTTTTTATTTGTAAGTATACGCTTTAAAGCTTGAAAGGAAACGTTTTATAGCTTCTGTTTAATTGCACTTTTTAAAATTTTTTTAATTTTGACCTACGATTTAATCCAGAAAGTAGCGAAAATTTTTTTTAAATCTATTAAAAAATTTTTAGCAAAGGTAAAAATGTACTATTAGGAACTAAACAGAATAGATGTTTAGTTGACTACAATCGATTTTTGTCGAAAAATAATTGAATTGTACACGTGAAGTAACTAAACAAAATTTTAATAAAGTGATTTTTTCTCTTGCCTTTAACTGCAGTTGTTAAAAAGTAAATAATATTTGCTAGATTTTAATGGACATACAACTGTTTATTTGTTAGTATACGCTTTAAATCTTGAAAGAAAACGTTTTATAGCTTTTGAAATATAGCTTTTTTTAAAAATTTAATAGTTTTTAACTACTATTTAATCCGGAAAGTAGCGAAAATTTCTTTCTAAATATATTAAAACATTTTTAGCAATGGTAAAAATGTGCTATTAGATAAACAACAGAATAAATGTCTGACTTACTACAATCGAGTTTCGTTGAAAAAGAATTGAATTCTTCACGTAAAGTTACAAAAAAAAGTTTTATTAAAATAATTTTTTTTCTTTTTTTGGACTGCAGTTGTTTAAATAGAAATGTTATTTTCTAGATCTTATTGGACCTAACACTTCTTATTTGTAAGTACACGCTTTAAACATTGATAAAAAACGTTGGATTGCTTTTGTTATTTAGCATTTCCTTAGATATCTGATAGCTTTTAACTATTATTTAATCTAGGAAGACGCGAAACTTTTTCTTAAATTTATTGAAAAATTTTAAGCGACGGTAAAATGTCCTATTAGAAACAAGACGCAATGAATGTCAGGTTGACTACAATCGAGATTTGTCGAAACAGAATTGAATTTTACACGTAAAAAAACCAACAAAAGTCGTAATAAAATAATTTTTTCTCTTGTTTTTGACTGCAGTAGACAAAATATAAATGATGTTTGCCTAATTTTTTCGGACGTAGCACTTTTTATTTGTAAGTATACGCTTTAAAGCCTAAAAGAAAACGTTTCATAGCTTCTAAAAAATAGACATTTTATTGAAATTTTAGATTTTTTAAATTTGATTTAATTTCTAAGTAGCGAAAAATTTTTTCTAAATATATATGAACATTTTTAGCGACGGTAAAAATGTGCTACTAGAAACTAAACAAAATAGACGTTTGGGTTGACTACAATCGAGTTTTGTCGAAACAGTATTGAATTCTACACGTAAAAAAAACCAAAAAAAGTCGTAATAATATAACTTTTTCTCTTTTTTTTGACTGCAGTAGTCACAATATAAATAATGTTTGCTAAATTTTTTTGAACTTTACACTTTTTATTTGCAAGTATACGCTTTAAAACTAGAAAGAAAACGTTTTATAGCTTTTGTTATATAGCACTTTTTAAGAAATTTTATAGTATTTAACTACGATTTAATCCAGAAAGTCGCAAAAAATTCTTTTTAATTATATTAAAAATTTTTAAGCGAAGGTAAAAATGTGCTATTAGAAATTAAGCAGAATAGAGGTTTGGTTGCCTACACTCGAATTTTGTCGAAAAATATTCGAATTCTACACCTGAAGTACCCTAAAAAAGTTGTAATAAAATGATTTTAAACCTTTTCTGCGACACCAGTTGTGGAAAAGTAAATATATTTGCTAAATTTTATTGGACATAAAACTTTTCATTTGTTAGTATACGCTTTAAAACTTGAAAGTAAAAGTTTTATAGCTTTTGTTATATAGCACTTTTTTAGAAATCTTATAGTTTTAAACTATGATTTAATCTAAAAAGCAGGGAAAATTTTTCTTAAATATATTAAAA